CGAAATAGGTGGGTAGAGCACTTTCAGGAACTATTGAATCAACCAGCTCTACTGGACATATCCAACATCGAAGCAGCATCCGCGGACCTCCCAATTAATATTAGCGCACCTACGATTGAGAAGATCAGTATGGCCGTCAGACAAATCAAGAGCGGCAAAGCAGCAGGATCAGAAAACATTCCAGCAGAGGCGATGAAAGCAGACTTGGAAGCAACTGCAAAAATACTTCAAATTCTCTTCAAGAAGATTTGGGATGAGGAACATGTACCATCAGATTGGAAAGAAGGATACCTGATAAAAATGCCAAAGAAAGGAGATCTCAGCAAGCCATCCTCCACAAGATACAGGTGTTCATTAACAGTTGTCTACGCAAAATACTTCGGATTCGTTGGCCAGATACCATCAGCAACAACGTACTGTGGGAGAGAACAAACCAAATTCCAGTGGAGGAGGAAATCAGGAAGAAGCGGTGGAAGTGGATAGGACACACACTACGAAAAGCACCTAACTACGTCACGAGACAAGCCCTCACTTGGAACCCTCAAGTTCAAAGGAAAGGTGGAAGGCCAAGGAACACATTACGCCGAGAAATAGAGAAAGATATGAGAAGAATGAACAAAAATTGGACAGAACTAGGAAAGGAAGGCCCAAGACAGAGTTGGATGGAGAAAACTGGTGGGTGGTCTATGCTCGATTGGGGGTAACAAGCGTAAGTAAGTAAGTAAGTTGAGCATGGAGTTGGCAACCCTATCCCATTCTAAAAAAAACGATAACGAGAAAACATAATTCAAACCAAATATCAGGGATGTGATTCTCCTTCTCCGAATGAAAAACATTACTTCACGAATGGCTTATGTCGGTACGTAAACTAGTGACAGGGAGCAGAGTAGTTGAGCATGTTGATCGCCTCACTTATCTTTAGAGTATCATTAGGGCTGATATCCTGATGTCTGACGAAATCTCGGCATGGATACAGAAGTTCCAACTGGCTTTTAAACAATGCACGTCATTTATGGCATGGGTGGGATATCTAGCTGCTAACTTAAGGATGAGTTTATTATTCATCAGTTTGTCATATTCTACTTTACGGATGTGAAAAATAGTCTTAAAAATAAAGAATATTCGTCGAGTAACAGTAGACGATCATAGATGTCTTCAAAAACATTGCTCGGATATCTTGAGGCATTCGAGTAAGCAATGCTGGGTTTAGGAAAACAGTAGTACTAGGTAGAGATGACAAATCAGCTAATGAAGCAATGAATCTGCATAAGTCGAGGTGATTGGCGAAATGTACTACGTATGCCCAACCACTGACTGTAGGATCCAAACTAAGGTTTAGACTGAGGAATAACTGTCTGGTTAGGTTAGATAAGTTGAAACCAAAACAAGGGATTTGAGTAGATGACGGTTCTAATATTCATCATAAATATAAATTTACATCATTACCTAAACAACTATTACCACTCAGTTATTTCATTAAAAATTGTTCAATTAATCAAATCAACAGCAACAAATAAATGTTATTCTATCCCTCCTGGATAGATCAGATTCGTTCGAAAGATAATATTTGGTTGCTTTATAACACAGAGTGTTTCCTATTCTGGAAGAGTGCTTCAATTCACAATCGAAATGCACAATTCCAGTCCAAGCAAGCAACACAATCAAAAGATGAACAAATCAATATGGCTGTCACCATGACTAAGTATCAGCTTAAACAACATAAATGCAGTTCAGAAAGAAACATAGAAACTCAGTAAAGGCAAAAGAAATAGAAACTATAATCAAAAATACAAATATTATCATCTCTGAAATGGAATCGAACAGACTTCACAAAATGTACAACTGAAGGAATCTCAATAAGGACAAATTACAAATGTATACACAGGAGGGATTTTCACAAACAAAGCCTTCAAAAAAATGGATCTTACACCGACTCCCTCGATAGGCTATGCTGTCTGATGTAGGAGCAGACTGTAAGAAAGCTAGGGGTGGCCGAACTGAAACATGGCACCAATCAATGTACCATAGTTTACGATAATCATACCGAACCAAGTCAAAAAATCTATACCTAATAATAACATGGTTCCATTTAAAAATCAATAATTTAACGAAACTGACAGCAGATAAATTGTTTAAATGTCAAGAACTATCTATCGAAACTTATAGAGTTTGACTGCTTATTTCTGATATATATATATATATCAATATGTCTAGTCGTTATTAAACAGAAAATAACGCCCCTAATTTGTCAAGAATATATATTTCATTTTTGATAAGTAATTATTTTCAATTTTCTTGGAAATTTATGACTTTCAAATGTTTTACATGTGATTTTACAAAAAATTTATTCTTTTATCAGACTATATATAATATCTAGACAAACCAATCAGATGAAATAGTTCGTAATGGAAATTTTAATTTTAATTCTTAACGCGATTTAATTTACTGAAATCATGTATCAATCATGTATCCATTTGAAACTTAGAAGCACTTGAAAATGGTCATTTTGTCCTAATGTGGTGGGATTTTATGATTGTTTAACTCATATCGATAGTACTTTTATTTGGAACTGTACTCAACAAAACTATTGTGTTTTGAATTTACATGTGACATGTCTTCTTGGAGCTCGAAGGCGGTATTTGACTCAGTGGATCGTGAGGTTCTGTGACATTGTCTGTCATTGAGAGATGTGCTAAAGAAGAACATTAACTTTATACAAGCTCTCTACTTGAACAGCACTGGTCGGGTGAGAGCTTATGGTGAACTGTCGTTGGAATTCTCTACTTCAAGTGGTGTCCGTCAGGGCTGTCCACTCTCTCCATTCTTGTTTAACTTTGTCGTAGACATGCTTTTGGAGTTAACATTATCCTCGTCCGATATTTTAAGGGTAGACCTTCTACCAAGAGGATCGCTTATTGATCTGGAATATGCCCATGAGATAGTTCTATTCGGTGAAGACGCTAACAAAATGCAGAGTCTTCTGGCTACCATAAGCAACAATGCAAGCATGTTCGGGATGCGATTCTCACCGTCGAAATGCAAATGTAACATCAGGACTGGCTTGTATCAGCACCTGAACTAGTGATAGGCAGTGAAGCAGTTGAGCGTGTAGAACGATTCACTTATCTCTGGAGTCTTATCAGCGTTGATGGCCTGGCGACTGACGAAATCTCAGCGCGGATACAGAAATCCCGATAAGGCTTTGCCAATTTACGTCATTTATGATGTAGGCGAGATATACGTTTGCTGACTAAAAGAAGAGTGTACTGTGCAGTAGTTCGCTCCGTTCTCCTATATGGTTGTGAAACATGTCCGATAAGAATAGAAGATATTAGTAGGTTACTAGTATTCGATCATAGATATCTTAGAGGCATTGCTCGTGTATCGTAGGACACCCGCGTAAGCAATGCTGCCATTTGGAAACGAGTACTAGGTAGGGATGGCAGACCAATAGATGAAGCATTGGATCTTCATCAGCTGAGGTAGTTGGGACATGTGTTACGAATGCCCGACCACCGACTGCCTCGACGAGATTTGTTTTGTGGTGTAAAAGTAGGTTGGAAGAAAGTTAGGGGTGTCCAGAACGAAACATGACAGAAATCGATAAGGTCACTGACAATCGGACTGAGTTCTGTTGTTAGATGTAGGCTAACTGGTTGGGGTCTGCGAAATGAAAGTCACCAATGGTTAGAGAACTTGAATGGTATGGTTAAAAATCGTGTGCAGTGGCGCAAGTGCATCCACTCTTTGTGTTCTATGAAATTCTAAGCTTCTGGATCCGACAACACCTCTACCTTTGTCTTTCTAACCTTATCTCACTGAATTGTGCTTCTTGAATAATATCTTGGAACCCTAATCTCCTCCTTTACCAATAGTTCTTCTACTATTTCTATCACTATGGGATTTGATTTGACATTCGCGTCTCTGTGCTAATGTGGTATTGCAACATGAACTGATGTACTTACGTATGAAGTTCTACGTTGCAGATGACTGACTGACTTACTTGTGACAATGAGTAGGAATGAAGGCTAAGCAGAATCCAAATTACATCTATTTTTTGAAAATAAACAAGTACAATTCCTGGGAGAAATAAGTATAGAAAATGTCCCAAAAGTAGCTGCTACATTGACGTGATGGTCGAGCTTGTATATTGTTATGACCTAACCGAGCTATATTGGCTGGAACATATGATCCTGTTGGTCGATTGGAGAATGGTAAACTCTGCGATCATGCCTCCAGATCTCTAAGACCAACGCTAATCCAACTTTTTTATCAGGTCCTTCAGGAAACCCCCTTCAACAGTGTGGGCAACCAGGAAGTGGCATCCGCCCTCATACCCATAACACCACACGAAGTATGAGTCTACTGTTAGCAGTTCGCTTTGTCCTATTATATGAGTGTGGAACATGGAAAGTAAGAGTAGAGGATATTAGTAGGTTACTAGTATTCGATCATAGGTGTCCCCAAAGCATTGCTCGTATATCCTGGGACCACTAATCAGGCAATAAAGATTCAGGCGGCCAGACCAAAACATGGCACAAATCAATCAATCCAATGACAGATAGACTGAGTCATGTTGACAGGCGTCGACTACCTGGTTGCGGCCTACGAGATTATAGTAATCGATGGTTAGAGACCCTGAATGACATGGCTCAAAATCGTTTACAACAGCGCAAGCGCATCCATTCTTCGTCTCTCTTTCAAATCCTAATCTTCTGAATCCCTCATCGCATTCATCTTTCTCATCTCAAATCGATTTCACTGAATAATACTTCTTGAATAATATCTTCGAAACCCTAATCTTCTCTATTAGCGCCAATACTTCTAGCGCCTCTATTACTTTGGGATTTTGACTGACAATTCTATCTCTGTGTGTTAATGCCGTGGTATGGCAACTCGAACTGATGTATGTACGTACGACGCTGTAACTGACTAACTGACTCACTGTAATAAAATGTTATCAATACAAATTTATTTCATAGAATTATTAAATAACTTACCAGAATTAACAACCATTACAGTACAATCATTTGGTATACCACTAGTTTGATCAAAATGTACATTACGTATTGGTCGATTACATGATATCATTGTAGAATCATCATTTGAATGAATATTATGACAACAGGCTAATGATTGAATCATATTTGATTCGTGTGTACAATGAGAAGTAGAAGAGTATGAATGTGGTATATTGGATGATTGGGATGAGTGAACAGCTGAATGATTACGTAACCGTATATCTGATTCTAAATATGTGTAATGACAAAAAGGGAATCATTTAAGTTAGACACTTAGTGATGAGTATATGTAAAGCAGTAAAGATAAAAAAAATCGATATGACTATCCCATACATCAGTCTGTTACACCTGCACGTAAACGCGTCAACTTGATATACTTGAACTAGTACGAGTTTACCTTAGTTGGAAAACGAGAACGAGGATCGAGGATCTAGCGACACGACATGCTACTCTAATCCGATTATCCCAGTCCCCCCATATCGAGTAAGATTAAGAAGACTTGAATGTGAAGGAGAACATGTATTCTACAAGCATTCAGAAAGTACGAGGTCCGAATCCAGAAGGAGATAAGGATCCCGGACTAGGGATTCGGGTTCGGGTCATAAAACGTTACAGATAATGTGTATCTATACATTTAGGTAGAATAGGAAACCACATTTGACCAATAGAATTAGACTTACAAAATAATTCTCTTAGGATATTGGATGAATATCCTAACACAATCTTTTCACAATGTGAACATTTCTGCCCATTTCATATTTTAATTTAAGGTTAAATATAATGAAAACTAAAGTTGTAATCTAGGCCAAATCATCTCAACAGTCTTATACTGGCTACAATCAATCTCCCGATATTTCTACATATCAATGCAGTGTAAGATACTGAGAGAGAGTGAGTGAGTGAGTGAGTGAGTGAGAACTAGCTGAGTGATATTGTATATAACGGTTTTCTAACTAGTTCTTACTCATATATGCTGGCTTGCACGAAACTTGGATCAACCCTGAAAATTATTACGATTAGTTTCAACCATATAAAACAGTGGTATGGAATTTTTCGACCATAGCTGCTACCTTGATGGCGGTGGTCGGGCTTATCTGTGGTGATGACGCAATCGAGCTACATTAACTGAAACAAATGTCCCTTGAGATTCTTCCATGCCAGGCAAGTTGATTAGACAACAGTAACACTAAAGGCAGCAGCTTAAAATCTGAAGACGATGACGTACTGCTGACTGTAGGGATGTGACAGTAGCAAAGTTTTTCCCTCGTACAACCAGCATCTGCAACGATTCCGCCTTCTTACAACAGAAGGAAGGGAGTAGAAAATACCAACCCTAAAAATGTCACAGATTTCTATTTCCGGTGGCAATGCCTTTTAAAGAGCAGAGCTTACAAGTCCAAAACTTCCCATGAAAAGGCTGTGCGCGACCAACCTCAAGCAGTTATCGCTTGAGCTCTGTAGTCATGTTTTCAGGTCGCCAAGACCAACGCTATGACTTCCTTTTCAGATTTCCTTCGATGGTGTGGGAAACCGGAAAGTGATATCTGCCGTGATATACTTAACAGCGCATTAGATAGGGTTGCTCTGGAATTTTGGCTCCCTCTTACTAATGACTGCATTGGAATAGGATACATTGTGTTTGAACATTCCATAAGAAAAAACTGATACTCATTAGTAACTGGAGATTAGGAATCACAAATAGACAACAAGCACAGAAATAGTAATGTTGATATGCTTGCAGATATTACGGGTTCGTTTTACTCATTAAACGGAACG